TACTAGGAGCAAGAAGCTACTAGGGGCTCCTGGCATCGCTACTAGGAACAAGAAGCTACTAGGAGCAAAGGGTATCGCTACTAGGAACAAGAACGCTACTATGTTTGTCGGGCGGGTCGGCCAGTGGGCGGGAGAGACTGGGCAGATTGCTGCATTGCTAGCACTTATGTTCGAGTAGAAACTTGAGGTATTTTGCTGCTTTAAGGACTCTCCATTATCTTCACTCAAACTCTCTGAAGTGTGAGCTATCCTGCATTCAGTAACTAGGAGCTTACTCAAGCTACTAGCTTACCACTTCGGCTTAGCGGCCTACCTTCACCCATAAAAAGGCAGAAATAACAAGATTATAACATAAGTTCACATCTCCAACAAGCTTGATTTGTACCACTTCCTTTGTTGGTGAGTCGGAGTGTGAGCATTCTGTTGATGTTTGGTGCAAACTCCACGGACAAGAAGGGTAAGCAATAATGATGCTCGAATTCTTGAAGGACACTAGCTTCCTTAAGTCTTGTTGATAATGCCGCCCATTTGGTGCCTCAGGTATTCCTTTTTGGTTGCAAAAAGCAGGCCACTGCCAAACTTGCACTGCTGAGCAAAGGTGACACACACACACACACACTCATTGTTCTCAGGTTCAACATCATTTCCTTTTACCGAGGAAAGGTCGTGGCATGGGAGGACCTTGTTTGGTGGTTAAATGCTGTCAAGATTTGATTTGACCATACAAACTAGGACCATTTAGTGCCGCCTGCGGCGCAGAAGCTTCGAGAGGAACCTCTCTCAGATTGACAGTATCCGACGAGTGTAGATGAGACGAGTTTAAACGAACCCGACAAAGCATGCTTCTCAGGCGGAACAGTTCGTGGACAAGCTGCGGCCAGCCAAAAGAACAGATATTTTGCAGGCAAAGTGTACTCGCATATTTGCAAAATGGGTACCGGGTACTGGTTACTGACTGGTACTGATACAATTGCCATGCATACTTGGCCGCGAGCTGAAACTTTTTGACCACCGTTGCCCATGCCCATGCACATCTATACAAGGTATCGCTGGTCCATGTGTTTTTGAGGGGGTGGCCGTGACGAAATACAGGGAGAAAGGCAATCAAATAGGCAAGTAGCTACTAGTAGCGAGGCAACGAAGAAGCTGCCTGGCACTGGGAAACCTCTATATAATTTGGGAACTTTCACCTTCACAACGCGGTGAAGATTTGTGAGTGCATGTTGGAAACTAGAAATGGCAGGCACTTTGCTGGGCACTTGACAGCGATGCAGCAACGGCCTTGGGGATTCGATCTTGTGACTTGCAACTTTGGCCTTGTGGAAGCGAGGACTCGATCTACTTATTGACGTCTGGTCTCCCCAAGTTTGCTGACACAGAAAAGACCTGAGTAGTGAGGCCGCTCACGTTGGACACTGCAGTCAATCTTGATCAATGCTGCATGTGAAAGGTAATTGCAGACTGTCACGGGGCTTCCTGGCTTTGCTCAGCCTTCACTAAGGACTATTGTCGTGCAGAAGTCCGCTCGCAAAACAAGCGACAGCTGTCGAAGCTCAGAAATGTCAGCAAGAAGATTAAAATAAAGTACAACAAATATGAATGCCGTGTGATGCGTATGAGTTGGCTTTGCGATGGTCGAAGATGAGGCCAATTCATGTCGTTGGCGTAGAGTGTGAGGCGCTGCCTTACAAGTGTGCTCGAAGCTTTGCTGTGCTGTAACTTGCCAAGGCTCAGGCTGAAGTTGAATTGAGACGACTCGCAGAGGAGTTCAGCACTTAGTTGACAGTGTCCGAAGTTGTGAGGTGTTTTTGTTTCAACCCTTCTTCGAAATATGTTTTGGAATGCCATTGACATTGATATTGCATGATATTGCCATTTTCCCTGAACTTCTTCATCCTGACCAAACCAGCTACCTGCTTGCTAAAGCCAGCGATTTGTGTGACACTCAAAGGAACCGCGGCTCATTTCGCCACAAGACTTTCCATACAAAGATGCTCTGTTCTCAGGGTCGAATAGGTCGGAAGCCATTGGGCGCACTCTTCAAGCAACTTCCGAGGAATGCTATTCATTGCTGTACGCTTTCGTATCCTCTTGCCATCACTCGCACCAGGTGCACAGAGGACGGTGTGGAGATGTTGAATCCAGGGCAGGAGCCTTAGACACCAGCATGAAAGGGACTGACATAGCCGCAGCCTTTTGAGTGTTCTTTTCTGGAACAGCAGACACAAGCTGATTCTTCATGCAGCTTCTCGCCATATTAGCACTGGACAGAGCCAGGGCTAGACAGTTCCTTTGTTAGGGTAGGTGCGATTGGTGGTGCTGTTGTGGTGATGGTGGGTCATGTTCTGAAGAGTGAAGTTCCTATCATGTTGGTGCTACGCTCTTTAATTCATGCCTAGAACTACATCAAGTATCATCAAGTAAAGTACCATGTTACAAGGGATGCACAGTTGCCAAACTTTGGCTTGCCCCCATCAAATGATGGTCATGCTTGAACCTGAACTTGAAGTTGATTGCTAGCAGTTGAGGCGATCCATTCCTCCACGTCAGCGTCTCTCTGACAATAAGTTGTCTATTGGTGGGCAAATTGAGATATTGGAGGTCATGATCAAGGAGCAAGAAATCCAGACAACAGATTGGTTGGAAGAGCAAACATGCGCCAACCGAATCCTATTGACCACAGCAAGTCAACATCCTGTGCCCAATGAAGATCAGGCTCGATATGTGGCAGGGCGTTCGGTAGTCAGCCAACTCTGCAACGGTGCTCCAGTCCCGTTGCGTGAGCTCCTTCAGATGCCTTTGGTTCCAAAAGGGGAAACGCAACCTCCTGGAGCTCCAATGCTCCCGAAGGCATCTCGGAAGTGGAGGGAAGGTCTCGTGGCGCATGACATGCGACGCCCCTCCGTTCACAATCCTGGGGACCGGCCAAGTGGAATTGTCAAGACATCTCAGGCAGGGATTCACAATGATTCATTTGTGGATATTTGTGGTACTGCTGACTTGAAGTCTTGTCAGTCTTGCGCTGCCCTGCAGGTGGCTTCAAAGGGCAAAGCCATCCATGCCAGAGTTGCTTCGCAAAGGAGTGAGGCACATTCGATCTACGAATATGCTCGTTGAAGCCCGAATCGGGCTGAAGAATGCATAATTCTTTCGACGCATTTGTGCTGTCAGTGACTCGACTTCATATTTTACGAAGTCAAAGAAAGCAGTCAATGGCAGGCTCTTTTACCTGAACATAAGCATTGAATTGATGCTGTTCCAACACGGAGTGGCATCATGTCACCTACTCAGCCGTAAGAAGCTGCAAACAGGAGGGCCGTCGTTTTGTGCAAACTCTCAGTTCGTCATTTGGTGCTGCCCAGCTGCTGATACATTACCACGCACCGTGCAACTTGCAACACCTATGTGGCAACACACGAATGCCTCAAATGCAGCTGGCCACTATGCTGACTCGACACTCATGGGATGTCATTTGATGATATCTCATTACTGATATTATACAGAAATTGATTTGCATGATATCGCGTATGTATATATATTATATATATATTTGCAACATATATATATATTGTTATATACTGTATGTAACTTTATGATTTGAGTTTTGATCGTTCTGCAAAGTAGGGCTGTTTATTCATGCAATCCATGGCTCAAGCCGACCGGACTGCACGACAGCAAGCACCGCTACTGCACGACTACACAGGCGCAGAAGAAAGGTCACTAGCGCTGGTGCCTTGGTTCTTGTCGAAAGCAAACATGACGTGCCTGGCCGAATGAGTCCATGGCATTTTCTTGATCAGAACAAAAACCTTTGAAGCCTTGGAGGCAATTTGCAACACGATGGGCAGAGTTCATGAGATCATCGTTGAGAACTTCAAGTGCGTTACATAGAGTTTCAGTTTCAACGCATTGCTTGGAGGAATATTAATATTTCGCTACCAATTGCTAGGAGGATGTGTAGGCTCTCTTAGGAAACAGACTAGCTTTCTTCTACAGGCTCCTTGCAGAGAACTCCATATCGGCGTTTGTTTGAGAGTCTTTTGCAGCTCCTTTGCCGTAAATGAGCTGCACAAGGTCCTACCAGGGCAAGGTGAAGATTGGGCCCTTCAGGTGGACGAATTTGAGCAGCGGGAAGTCCAATCATGTCAAATCTCCAAGTTTGAACATCCCTTAAATTAAAAAACACTACAGAACAAAGACACAAACAGTATCAAAGATGATGCAGGTGCACAATCTGGCACAGATACCTTTCACACACAGTTGCTTTTTTGTGACTTCTTACATCAAAACAACAAGTGCAGAGCGACATGTTACTTGTTGCCTTGTCCCCTCAGTTTCTCACCAGCCTGTATTGGAGCAACAGGAAGTTTACTTGCATCATCGGACCGAATGGAGCGGGCAAGCTGAGCTCTAAGTTGCAGTAAATGTGTTTTTCATGTTTTCGATTTCGACCTACAAAGCATGAAACTGGAGTTGACAAGAGTTACGCTACATAGAGTTATATACTCTATCTTCCTTTGTCATACATATATACTTAATTCCTTTGATTGGCTGCTTGGCCCCTTTCTACCATTTTGCGGTTGACCATTTGGTGTGTCGTTCAGGGCGATTTCTCCTATCCATTCTTGACACCTAGATATGCACAGGCTTCCGGAACCAGGGTTCCTCCTCCACGTGTAGTTTGAATCATATCATAGGGCTCATAGAAGGCATTTTGGAGTGGGATGCAGCTGGATGCATAGACTTTTTGGGGATGGTTGGAGAGTGGGGTTTGTAGAACCCCGAACCAATGGACAAGAGGTGTCCGAAACTCCTGAAGCACTGACTCACGCTATTGTTACCAACTTCCGGTATTCGTGAGGTTCATATTCATAATCTGATTCATAGTTATTCATAATAATATGTGTATTTAGTATATAGATGAGTCCGGTTGAGTGAATGTGTGATGAGTGAAATGTTGTTTCTGTCTAGCCGTAAGATCGGAGGCTTTTTGATCGGACAGCAGGAAGTACCATCCAAAAGGCTTGCTGCCTCAGGTCAAACCTCATGGATGCCATCAGCTTTGTACTTGGTGTACAGGCGAGCTTGTTTCATAATATTTCATGTACTTCACTGCTTAGCTCTGTACCTGTTGACAAAAGGTAGGAACACGGGTCATACGGGTTCCATCCCTTTTAGACCAGAGTGTCTAGGGCCGACTTTCTGGGCTTTGGAAGGTTGGCTGGGGAAGCCTTAGACAGCTTTGATATGATCAAAAAAAGAGAGGCAGCGCTGAGCTACAAGAGGCGCAAGTATGAGAAATCAAGTGACATCCACAAAGATCCCAAAAGTAGGAAAAGTACAATGCTGCATTGGGCTTGAATGGATAGGGAAGGATTTACATATAAAATCATATATATATATATAGATACATATGTCCCTCGGTTTCTTGAAGTACAAACAAGTAGTCAGAAAGCCAGGGGGCAGACATTTGGTGCCCTAAATTGTGAAGATTTCTTCAAGTTAAGGCTCTTAAGACCTCACAAAGGAAAGCAAAGACGGACCATGGAAGCTACTAGACTGCAGAAAGCATATCAGGGATCGTCTAAAGCAGGGTTGCACGGGGAAGCAGCAGCACCAAGTTGCACAAGAACAAAGAAGGCACCAGAGTTGGACTGCGATAGGCAAGGACCAACCCACAAAAGTAAGTTGCGGGCAAGAGAATGCACCAAGCAATATCAGCCTATTTAAACAGAAAACAACATTCATAGATTAGATTAAACAATATATGTAAATATGACATAGCTTCATACATACTAGAAAGGATAAGCAAACAAATGCTACTCAGGGGCCAATCAAGGGGTTATGCAGAACCATAAAGTAGAGTGCAAGTGGACTGAGGCAGGACTCGTCCAAGCCATCACTTTATCAAACCAAGCATGGTTCGTCAAACCCTGTGGGGCTGGGGAACATTATAGAGGCGATTTGTAGTTCTTTTTTTGTCGGCCCAGCGCTCGCACTATTCGTTTGGTTCCTAGATTCGATTTTTAGGGACATTCAACGATCGTATATAGTCAAGCAATCAAAGAATTGACTCCAAGTCTTTAGTCCATTCAAGTTGAGCCTTTGCAAACAAGTTCCAACGATTGGACTGCTATGGTGAAAGGTGTCTCAGCTGGCAAATCTATGTCCAAATGATTCTGTGCTTTTCATCCAATCTGTTGACAGGCGAGGCAACTGCGAGGGGAGCGTGCGCGAGATTTGGTGTATTGCACAGAGAAGGAGGCGAGAGTTGAGCCAATGAATTTGAGAGGCAAGAAAGGCTGCTTGTCCATGGCACACTCGTAGGATCCAAAGAAGAACCAGCCGAGCCCCCAATGCTTGTCATGAGCTAGAGCCTTGCCAAGCAACGTTTGACAAGGCGCACTGCATATGTCGAGCTCACTTATGTCTACCTCTCAGAGACCCCTCAGTTTGCTCATGTTTCCTCCTTTGGTAGCGATTGACCTTCCGCATGGCAAACACCTTGAAGCCTTTGGAACTTTGAAGGTGGATGACCAAGTTGAAAGTGCCGGTGAGCAAGTGCTCGTATTTCGTATGTTGCTTAAAATACAGAGATTGAGATGATCTGTTGTGAACAAGTGAATCCGCAAGCCAAACATGTGGTTCTTAAGGACGCACCATCACTCGCACGGGTGAAGCAAAGTTCCAGGCTTTGCCAGCTTGCTTTTCGTGTATTATTTTTTGGTCGCGGGGACAGGCCGCAAAGAACGGTGAAGTGGATGTTTGGTGAACGAGTAGTAAGAGGTAAGATGAGGATAGATGCGGCAAGTAGTAAGAGGATGTAAGAGGTAGGTGCGTAAAAATGCTTTTGGATACTACCGCGTAGAAAACCTCATTGGAGGCGTGGCAGAAGCTTCCTTAAAGAACCCTTCACTTGGTGGAAACTAAGCGGTAGACCTTTTAATTGTCTTTCCTTTATTTTTACCTGTTCCTAATGTTTAATATATATTTTTTATCGTTTCGATTTCCTTTAGTCCATTCTGGGGCTTTGCCGGAGGTTAACAGCGCAACGGTCTCCCAAGCAGACTACCAAAAGCGCCTCGAGAGCATCAACATTCTGTCTAAGGCAGATCTAAGCTTCTGGTGCACTGTAGTATGATGAAGTCTTTTTGTTGCTTTGTCCATATATGCTGGTGCAAACTGCTGACTAGATTTTAGTGTTTTGTTTACATTTGTGCGATCAGAAGGTAAACGCGGTGGTTAAATAGAGCAGCAGAACTGCTCAAGTACCTGTTGCGAAGCAATAGGAGCGCAAGAGGCTGGCCTTAATCAGGGACTAACTGCAGCTAGCTGGCCACGAATCACCACAAATCAGCATCACTCACGCACCAAGCATTGCAACTAATCCACCACCTGCCAGGTGAGAAACTTCCTGGTGTTCCAAGGAGATGTGGAAGCGACAGCACAAAGACAGGGCAAGGACCGCACGTAGTTCACTATGTTTGTGTTACTGCAGAGTGTATGTGGAATAGAACAATCCTCTAACTCGGAATTGTGTTCATCGGTGTTGTCATTGATCTATTTGTTTTGCACTTACGTGTAGTCATTATTGCACCTCAGGAGCTCACTGCATTCTTTGAGCAAATCTCTGGATCCGACGCGTTTCGTCAGGCACGAGTGTTTCATCTTCAACGCCACAGCCATGGAAAGCCGCAAAGGCTACAATGTGTACGATCCCCAAAACTGCCGGATAGCTTGTAACAACAAAACTTTGTACGCAAAAACCTAAAGGGAACCGACGAGATGCACAAGAATTCCTAAGAAAGTGTGCTCAACCTGAGCTCATCCTTACAAGTAATGCTGGGCAAACCTATGCAATAGACCAGATCCCTGAGAGGCATAGGTCACCCCCAATCTCAACTCAGCCCCCAGAAATCAGATTTCGGATGGGGGTTGGATAGGTTTCAGTGCCTTGAGGCAGTTTGGTGGTCCCATGGCTGGAAAATGACCAAGAACAAAGCCAAACAGCTATTCCTTTGGCTTGTGCTTGTGTGTGTGTGAGATCAGGAGTATTCCCCCGCAACTCACCTGAAAGCTTTCATCTTACAAGATGTTGCAAGTATTGGCAAGCCACATCCCATCGTTCATTCAAGATAGGAAACCACTGAGCGACCAATACCTTGGTTTGTGCCAACGCCACCAGTAGAATGCCAGGAGTACGACCGCTTGGCCACTGACAAGACAAAGCTCGAAGAGCAAGCAAGGCGAAAGATGTCAAGCGAGTCGAGTGAAAGCTCAGAGCCAATTTGGGGTGGTTTGTATATGTTTGCATCACTAGTCAAAGCTACTCTATCGCTGATCACCTCGGAGGTATCTCTTTACAAAGAAACGCAATGCCATCAATGAGCGCAAGAGAGTCTCTCAGCAAAAGGATGAGGCTGATGAGTGAGCCCCCGCGAATGTGCTCACAGTGTGAACACAGAACAGCCTCACATCGCTTGATAGATCTTGATAGCAGGGAGAATCCCGTAGCTGGACAGGTGGACAGCCTCATGTGACCTCACATGGTCCTTCCATTCCATTTACCTTTTCCAAGCAAACATTTGAGATATGTATACAGTATAGATTTAAGGGCTGCCGCCCCTGCCGCCGACCCCGGGACTCATCAAGGAGCAGGAGTACTGCAGCTTGCAGTCGGCAAAAAGCTATGAAACAAACCGATCAAATTGGACGGGTTGTTCAACAGTTGAAGCAGGTACACTTCAGAATGCAATAAATTACTGTAAAGCTTTCAATATTCTCACGATGGCTGGCGACAAGACTTACGATCAAAATGGAAACTTGACGGCTTTTCCCAATCTAATTCTGGTCCAAAACGAGCCTCCCCTGGTTCCACTTTGGGTGCCAAACGCCGCCTCTGAATCCCTAGAAAAAAAA